AAAAAATTATATTGTTTATGAAAGTAATTAACCTTTAGCTATGAATTTTAGTCAATTCTTTCATAATAAGTGAAGTTTCTAGAACGAATTTATTAAAATTTTTAAAATCAATTAGTTAGTCCAAGAAATTTTATCAAAATTGTATTGAAAAAACAAATTTTAGCAAAATATTTTATTATTTTTGAAAATAATTCAATTCTTATACAGAATTTTATAAAAAATTTTGAATATAATTGAATGTCTGCCAAAAATTTTATGATTTTTTAAAATAATTAAATTTTTATAAAGAATATTATAAACTGTTTTGATAATAATTGAATTGCTTTGAAAGGAACTTCATTAAAATGATTAAAAATAATTGAATTCATTCAAGACATTTTAATAAAATTGAAAGTAATTGAATTTTATTATTTTGGAAAATAATAATTGAATTCTTGGGAAGCATTTTATTAAAATAACTGAATTGGTCCTTGAAATTTTATTTATATTACATTGAAAAAAAAAAATTCGTGCGAAAAATGTTCTTATTTCTCTAAATAATTGAATTCTTAGGAAGAATCTTATTAAATGTTTTGATAATAATTGAATTTCTTTGGAGTGGAATTTCATTAAAATGATTATTTGAGAAATTTTATTAAAATTAAAAATAATTGCATTTATTCAAGAAATTTTATTAAAATTGAAAATAATTGAATTCATTTAATAAATTTTTTTAAAATTGAAAATAATTGAATTTTATTATTTTGGAAAAATTCTTAAGAAGCAATTTATTAAAATAATTAAATTGGTCCAAGAAATTTTATTAAAATTACATTGAAAAAAAAAGTTTCTTATTTCTCAAAACTGGTCATTTAAGAAAATTAATTAAAATTGAAAATAATTGAATTCATTCAAGAAATTTTATTAAAATTGAAAATACATGAATTTTATTATTTTGGAATAATTCCTGGGAATCATTTTATTAAAATACTCGAAGATAATTGAATTCCGGCGAAAAATTTTATTATTTTTGAAAATTATTGAATTCTGTCAGTAAATTTATCCTACAATTAAAAAAAAAAAATTTTTTTTGGAATTAAATTATAATTGTATTGTAAACATGTGAAATATTATAAATAATCAAAATTTAGTTAAATTATTATTTCCCTAGGTATTAATATCGTGACAATAGATAAAAAAAATTAAAGTATAGAAAATAATAAGATTGAAATTGAAACAATTATTTTGGCTGTCAATAAAAAAATTAATGTTTAATAGTAAAATAAATGATCCACTAATGAGTAATTTTGACAAAATAATTAAATTTCAAAAAGAGAATATGTATACATTTTCAGTGAAAGGCAAATTAACCTTTGAATTCGTTAAATTCAAAGCGAGAAGTCCGTCACTAATATGCAAATTAGTGAAAATTTTAGTATATATGTTTAAATTTTCGGAAGAGAGCGTGTCACTTATTCTTGATATAATTAATTAATTTCACAATTAATGTTTAATAAAGTCTTCTATTTTTTTCATCACTCTCGCACGGATGCGGGAAATTTTAATTATGTCGTAAATATTCAGCAATTTTTTCTTTTTTTTTTTTACTGTACCGCCTCAAAGAGATAGAAATTGGATTAAAAGTTCTTTTTTTTAAACTTTTTTTAAACAGGAAAATAAAATTGTGATAACGTTCATATAAAGAGTTCATATAAAATGTGTAGGAGAGAGAGAGAGAAGAGAGTCTTGTCGCATCGAGAAAACTCACTTTTGATTAAAAATTAAAAAACTTGTGAGGAACATATTAAAAAGTGTCCTAGGTTCATCACTTGGTGAATAAAAATAGAGAGAGAGAGAGAGAGGGAGAGAAAAGGCGACGACGAAATGTTCCATAAATTGTGCTTGTCGGCCTTGGTGTGGTGAGGAAAAAAAAAATTTTTTTTTCTCTCTCTCTTTTTTTTCTAGCCGAGACCCGTATTGTCCTTTCATAACCCCGTAAAGTTTAATGGAGTATCATCGTTCTTGAGTTCTTTGACGCACAGATTTGTTACTTCCCGCAAAGGGGACGCCCTCTCTCACGTGTTTTATCCGCAAGCGTCGCGTCATACCTGCTGCAGTGCATGTGAATATTTAAACTTTCTTCTTGCTTTGGGGGTTCATGTTTCAAGAAACTTTTATCTCGCATGAAAACAAGATGACAATAATATTTCTTAATACACAAGTGTCGCTAACGTGCTTTGTGTGTCGAGACTCGAAAATTGCACAAGGGACAATTCTTAACTTTTTTTTTTTTTGTCTGTGGAATTTTGTATTATGATGATAAAAAAGAAAAGAGATGAAAACAACAACAAAAAAAAGAAAGAAAAGAAAATCGCGTCTAGCTTTTGTGCGAATACAATTCCCTCTAGTCTGGTATTTGTAGTAATCAGGTGAAATTAAATATCCCTTGGGAGAAGAGAGAATAGAAATTTTTATTTTTATTTATTCTGTAAACAGGTGTATTATTAAGAAGATAGAAAATCTTTTTATGAAAGAAATATTCAATTTTCTTTTGGATAAGAATTATTATTACTGGCTATTAAATTTTATAATTAATTTGTAATTTAATAACTGATTCTATTAACTCATGATTAATTTTACTAACTCATCATTCAAAATTAAAAATAATAAATTATTTATGCAAAGTAAATAATTGAATATAATAAATAATTTTGTAATATTTATAATACTGTTAATAAGTATATAATTTATTATTAAAAAGAATTAAATTTTTATAGTAATTTAATTAAAATCGAATTAAAAATAATTGAATTCTGAAGGTGAATTTATTAAAATTTTTGAAAATAATTGAAAATTTTCAATGATCCGAAAGTTCTGAACGTTCAAATGAACGAAATTTATTTTCTTCTTCTTCAAATTAAATTTTTATTATAATATTTTGTGTCACTGTGAATAAAATTAATTATAAAGATTCTAAATATAATATTTATGTTTTAAATTTTTATTGCAATCAGTAATTTATAAAATTATTTCTCCTAATAAATGAATGTTTCAGAAGAATTTTATTAAAAATTCTGATAATAATTGAATTGTTTTGAAAGGAATTCTACTAAATATTTTTAAAATAATTGAATTCAATCAATAAATATTTATTAAAATTAAAAATAATTGAATTTTTGTACGGAATTCGACTATATTTGAAAATAATTGAATTCTTGAGAGAAATTAAAAGTTTTGAATATAATTGAATTTTTGCAAAAATATTTATTATTTCTCAAAATAAATGAATTTTTAGAAACCATTTTCTAATAAATTTTTTGATAATAATTTAATTGTTTTAAAAGGAATTCTACTAAAATGTTTAAAAATAATTACTAGGTATAAAAAATTATACTATTATAATTGAAGTAACACTGTAAATTTTATTAAAATTAAAAATAATTTAATTTCTGGGAGGAATTTGATTATGAAAATGATTAACGTCTAGCTGAAACTTTAGTGATTAAATTGTTTTGAAAGGAATTTCATTAAAATGTAAAAAAAATTGTTGAATTCATTCAAAAAGTTTCACTAAAATTGAAAATAATTGAATTTATTCAAATAATTTTATGAAAATTTCATAAATATTTTTGAATATAATTGAATTTCTTGTAAAAAATTTATGATTTTTTAAAGTAATTGTTTCCTTGAGAAAAATTTTAATAAAATGTTTTCATAATAATTGAATTATTTTCAAAGGAATTTAACTAAAACTTTTAAAAATAATTGAATTCACTCAAGAAGTTTTATTGAAATTGAAAATAATTGAATTTCTACGAGGAATTTGATTATTTTTGAAAATGATTTGAACTCTTGCGAAAAATTATATTAGTTATGAAAATAATTAACGTCTAGCTATGAATTTTAGTAAATTTTTTCGAAATAATTGAATTTTCTAGAAGAAATTTATTAAAATTTTCAAAATTATTGAATTGGTCAAAAAAATTTTATTAAAATTGCATAGAAAAAAAAATAAATTCCATCAAAATATTTTATTATTTTTGAAATAATTGAATTCTTAGGAAAAATTTTATTAAAATTTTTTATAGTAAAAAATCATTTTTTATTTTTTATTTAATTTTTATTTTTAATCATCAAAATGATAAAAAATTATTAAATCCATTCAAAAAGTTTCACTAAAATTGAAAAAAATTGAATTTCATTATGTTTGATAATAATTGAATTTCTTCGAAAAAATTTATTATTTTTCAAAGCAATTATTTTCTTGAAAAAAATTTTAATAACATTTCTTATAATAATTGAATTGTTTTGAAAGAAATTTTACTAAAACTTTAAAAAATAATTGAATTCATTCAAGAAATATTATTGAAGTTGAAAATAATTGAAATTCTACGAGGAATTCAATTATTTTTAAAAATAATTTAATTCTTAGTTAACATTACATTATAATTTTTAAAAATAATATATAATAATATATTATTATATACCTTCGGATTTCTGCGAAGAATTTTATTATTTCTCAAAATAATTTAATTCAATCAAGAAATTTTATTAGAATTGAAAATAATTAAATTTGATTGTTTTGAAAGTAATTGAATTCATTCAAGAAATTTTATTACAATTGAAAATAATTGAATTTCTGAAAGGAATTTGATTATTTTAGAAAATAATTAAATTCTTTCGAATAATTTTATTTAAAGTTCTGAAAATAATAAATAATAATTAATTAGTTAATAAGTGTATTTAAAAAATTTGTTAATCCGAAATTATTTAAAAATTGTGGACAATATTTGTAAATTAAAGAAATTTAATAATAATAGTAGCAATAATAATGGTAACAATAGTAATAGTAACAATAATAATAATAATAATAACAATAGTAATAATAACGTAATATTAATGCTTATTATAATAATTTTTATTTATTATACAATTATAATATTCGATTATCGTAAAATGTAATTTCAATTCTTCAACACAGTGACACTGAAAAAATGATGAAAATCAATTTTATGTTTCAGACGCTGTATCGTAAATCACTGCCTTCTTCCGGACAGGATCGACTCACACGAACGAATGTATAGGAATTGTTCTTTGACTCGCGAATCAAGGAAAAAAAGAAATTTTTTGAAACGGAGTTGTTGTTATATAAAGATATAAATATATATATATTAAAAATAAAAAAAATAAAAAAAAATAAATAGCACTCCGTAATATTTTTGAAAACATAAAATTAAATAAAAAAAACAAATAAAAAATACTTAACGAAACGTTTTTACATTAAAAACTTTTTTGCTACTAGCATTGATCACGAATTTTCAACATTCAAGCTTTTGTCAACATTTTTACAAATTACATTGTATAACAAAAAAAAAAACAAAAAATAAAAAAAAAATGATCTTACCAATGTTTCATATGGAGTATAACTTCGAAGGGAAAAAAAAATTATAAATATATAAAATGCTCGCATTTGATAAGCAGTTTGAAATTACTGGTGTTTTTTTTATTTATCATTATTAATACTTTTTTCTCGTTTTTTTTCTTTTTTTTTTTTTTTTTTGCTTCATTTAAACCAAGTACTTTTTCCCTGGGTATATAGGAGCTTTTCCCCTTGGATAGTAAACAACAACCGCCATTAATTTGAAGCCAGAAGATACTTTCGTAAATTTGCTCTGGAAACGGAAGCACGTATTCCGTCACGTTACAGATCAAGCACGAACCGAGGGATGTTTTCAAATATAAGACACGAAATTTCTTCACTGGACTTTTATTAATTACTTTTTTCGAAATTAACTTTCTAATTGCGTTTTTTTCTTGCGTCCCCGTAGGAAAAAAAGGAAATTTTTTTTTCTAATTTTCTTTTAATATTGCCTTACAAAAAAATATTTATTTGATTTAACAAAAATGATCTTTTATGACAATTTCTTTCATTTCAGTTTTTATATTAAAAAAATTAAAGATTATGGACTTAAGTTCTTTTTAAAATATTTTTTCAATTATATAACTTTTGACATTTATAATATTAATTGATATTACTGTTCAAAAGTAATTACTAAAATTTATTAATATTTATTAATTAATTATTAATTACTATATTTATTAATAAATACTTATTAATTAGTATAAGAATTAATTAGTCTAATAATAATTCGTATAATTATTAAATAGCAAATAGTAATCAGTATTCTTATTAATTAGAAACTTTTTAATTATTTTATTTATTAATTAACATCATTATTAATTCGTATTATAGTTAATTTATTATTTTTAATTTGATAATTAAATAATTAATAATTATAATAATATTTCTAAATGTAATTCTTAAAAAATACGATTACATTTCAAAAGAGTTTTTTGAATTAATATAATTAAATTTTTTGGAAATAATTGAAAGCTTAGGTAACATATTATTAAAATTTGTGAATATAATTGTAATTTATTTGATCATATTTCATAATATAATAAAATTTTATTATTTTTCAAAATAATTGAATTCTTAGAAAGAATTTTATTAAATGTTTTAAAATTTCATTAAAATTGAAAATAATTGAATTCTTTGAAAGTGTTTTATCAAAATAATTGAATTTAATTAGTAATTAATTTTTCAAAGTAACTTTTTCCTTGAGAAAAATTTAATAAAATTTTCAAAATTATTCAATTAGCTCAAAAAAAATCCAGCAAAATATTTTATTATTTTTCAAAATAATTGAATTCTTAGGAAGAATTTTATTAAATCTTTTCAAATTTCATTAAAATTAAAAATAATAAAATTCTTGGGAAGCATTTTATTAAAATATTTGAAAATAATTGAATTCCTGCAAAAACTTTTTATTTTTGAAAACAATTTTTTTCTTTCAAAGAATTTTATTACAATTTTTGAAAATAGTTGAAAATTTTTGAAGAATTTTATCAAAATTAAAAAAAATTATTGAAACCTCTGTCCCCTCGTAAACTTTTATTTAAATTATATTGAAAATAATTCAATTCCTGTGAGAAATTTGATTATTTTTGAATATAATTGAATTCCTACTGTGAATTCGTTAAAATTTTAGAAAATAATTGAATTTTTTTGGAGAATTTTATTAAAATTTATGAAAATACAAAGAATTTTTTTGGAAATTGAATTATAGTTGTATTGAAAGTAATATTGAAATCTTATAAAGATTTTTATTAAAATTTTTGAATATTTTTCGAAATATAATTCTTAAAAAATTCAAATACATTTTATAAAATTTTTTAAAAATAATAGAATTATATTTTTTTAAAAATTTAATTTATTTTAAAGCAATGTGACAAAAATTTTAATTGTTTCAATATTTAAAATTATTTTCGGAAATTCAATTATAAAAAAATTTGAATTACAAATTTTTAAAAATCTCATTTTTTCAGAATTTTTAAATAAAATTTTTATTTTTAAAAAGTTGTACGAGTATTTGATTATTTAAATAATTTAATAATTTTCAATACTTTGAATAAAATTTTCAAAATTATGTCTCCATTCTGTGAAAATTCTGTTACAGTGAAAATTCTAGTAAAATTAATTTGACTAAAACACTAATTACTCTATTTACAAATTAATCGTTAAATTTTCGACATGTAAATTTGAGTTGTAAAACAAAAGACTTAATAAACCCTTACTTCATGTGAGGATAGAATATTTCGATTATTACTATATAATTTTTATTTTATTTTTTATAATTAACAATTTTGTTATTAATAATTTACCTGAATAATAATCAACAATATTACAAATTAATAAAGTTTCAAAACTTTTTAACGTTTAAATGAATGAAATATTTTCGAAAATAACCGAATTAAAAAGAAATAAAAAACGTAAATAATTTTATTAAAAATTAATAATCAAACAAATATTTATGTTTCAAATTAATTAATTCCTAAATGTATTTATCACTTGAAATCCTAAATCATTCTATCAATAAACTATTAAATTTCTTTATTAATAATTTATTAAATTTCTTCATTTATGAATTAAAAGACTTCTTAAATTATAAATTAAAAAAAATTTTTATTTACAAATTTAAAAAAAATTATAGATAAATTAATTAAAATATTTTTATTCGGAAATTAAAAAACAGTTTTAAGAAAAAAAAATATTTTTATCAATTATGAAAATAGGTAAATAAATATTTTTACTAATAAAAAAGTTAATGCGCAAATTTTATAGAGTTTAGCGAAATTTAAAAGTTCGCATTTTTATCATCGAATAACTTTGGAATTGTATCGGTGGGGCTCTTAAAATAATAATTCTTAAATTATAATTGAAAAAACAGAAAACGATAAATTATTACTTGATTTGAGTTCATTTAAAAAAAGAAATAATTAATAAACTCTAAACTGTAATTATAATAATAAACTTTGTATAGAAAAATGCGAATATACGTGAATAATGGTTTTCCCAACTCTCAAGGTAAGTGGAACAAATAATTTTTAACTATTATTCGCCTCTATTAAAAGTTTCATGTTCAATTTATCTGAGCCATAAATTTCCTACTGTGAAACTTTTAAGGTCCATTATTTTAATTATAAAATAATAACTCGCGAGGTTTTACGCAGAAATATGTATATATATAGAAGAATATATATTTTTCTATTGTCTTCTTCTACATATTTTTTTTAATTCTCTTTTTTATTTTATTAATTGTATTTCAATTATTTATATTTCATTAAAATGAATAATTTGTATATTTATTTCATTTTATATATTTTTGTTTTATTTTATTTCATATTTTTATTTTATATACATAAAAAATATAAAAAATATAAAAAAATATAAAAATATATAAAAATATATAAAAATATATAAAAATATAAAAAATCTATAAAAAAAATATATTTTTATTTTATGTATAAAAAAATAAAAGTATTTAAAATAGTATATAAAATCACACACGCATATTTTATATAGTTTCAATGTTCATTAACTCGATATCTATTTGATTAGTGAAGCGATGTGAAATTTACCGTACACACTGACAGATCAAAGGAACTAATTATTTTTTTAATTTACGCGACTGGCAAGGCAAGTGAAATGTAAATTTGTCTACCTGCATTGGGCAAACCGATTAAAAGGCATGTGACCCACATTCCAATGAATCGTTTTAATTTACTTTCATTTCGGTTTACTCGCAGGGCACAATTTGTTTTTTTTTTTTTTTTTTTTTATTTATTTCCCTTCTCGAAAACGTTACAAATTAAAACAAACGACAAGTCGTGTGTGTGTTTGTTTATGTGTGTGTGTGGACAAGAAAGAAAAGGAAGCTCTTCCAAGTGCTCCATTCGTCTTTGCCAAGAAAAAAAGAAAAAAGAAGAAAAAAAAAGAAAAACATCTTTGAAAAAAAAAATTCCCGACTAAATCTCGTTTTATCTCCTCCCAACTGTTCTGAAATTGTATATACGAAACTTGACAAATTGCTGTACCTATTATTCAAGAACAAATTCTGAATAAGTTATTTTTAAGTATACAATTTTTTTTCCTTGGTAAAATGAATTAAAAGTTTTCGTTTTTCATTTATATTTTAATTTTTATCAATTTTCTTTATTTTCTTTTGTATTTTTAATTTAATTTAATTTTAATTACGATTTCGAATTCAAATAAATTAATTTTAACTCGTTTTAATTTTCTTCTCATTATTCAGTGAAAAAACTTGTTTAGTCAGACAAAATAAAATCCAAGTAAAAAAATGCAAAATTTAATATCGGACAAGTACAAAAAATTCGAAAAACTGATTCAAAAAGACAAAAATTAAAAAAAAATGGAAAATCAAAAATAATAATTAGAAATTAAATAATGAAAATAATAAAAAACTGAAATAAAAGAATATAAGTAACAGAAGTGAAACAAACCCTTTTTAGTCAGACAACTAGAATTATAAAAAATAGTTTAATAAATCCTAAATTTAGCAATAATTATAAGAATCATAAGTGGAAAACACCATTTTTAGTCAGACAAGTAGAATTATAAGAAATAATTAAGAGCTGTGATTTAAATAAATTAAATAACAAAAAAAAATATTCATATAAAAACATAAGTGAAAACACCCTTTTTAGTCAAACAATTATAAAAAACAATTTTAAAAATAAAAAAAAATAAAAAATATAGAAATATAAGAGAAAACCCCTTTTTATATAGTCAGACAACTAGAATTATAAGAAATAATTTTAAAAATTTTTAAATAAAAAATATATCAATATAAGAAATATGAGGGAAAAAATAATTTAAAAACCCAAAAAAGAAATAAAAAATATATCAATAAAAGTAAGAAATATTTAAGTAAAAAAAGCTTTCCTAGTCAGCCAAAGAAAATTTAAGTAAACGAATCAAAAAATTCTAATTCAAAGAGAGAAAAATTAAAAATAAAAATTAAAAAATTGAAAATAAAAAAGAAAGAAAAATAAAAATTAAACTACTA